TGCAATGCCGAAAGGCGACTAATTGCGCTCGCTTTTAAGCATAAATTTACATAAACGCTCTTATTCTGTTTCTGAAATTTTTAATTTAACCGAGTGCTCGCTTTGTATCCGCCTAAAGAATGTAAAAACATAGCATAAATAGATTCTTCATAGCTAAATAGATTTCCAAAAATTTTTAATAATTCTATCGTAATTCTATCAAAGTCTGTCAAATTTAAAGATAAGCTAATCACATATGGAGAAGAATTGCTAAATATTTCATCTAAATATCGGTCGCCTAAATCGTATCTCATCAATACCTTATTGTTATGCGAAGAGAATGGTTTTGTTAGAAAATCTCAAAATTTGACCAGATACAGATTTAAAAATAATCTTAAACCATCAAACGTTATTATTAGGACACTTAAATAATAATTTTGTTTTTTTTTTTGCAATCAGTTTGAACGTCATAATAATTTTAAAGACCGAACAAGACTAATTTTACATCTCTATCTGTTCAAATTTTTACATTCCAAAAAACTGTTCTTTTTGTATATTTAATATAAAAAGCATTTAGTGATAAAAATATAAAATAAATAAAAAATGAATAATAAAGACAGAAGTTTAGCAGATTACATCATGTTTTGTATGTGTTAACAAGCCGTAAAAAAATCAGGTACCATTGATGTTAATTTTTTTATAAAACACACACACACACACACACACACACACACACACACACACACGTGTTCCATCGCATTCCGTGCACATAGTAGATACTGCTTAAATTTACAAAGAAAAAAAAACGGTGACAAACAGTGCGTGAAAATATACGTGCCGGAAAGTATACGTGCTATGCAAGAAGAGATTAAAGTCGTTGTTTGACACGCATGTGAAATCGCAATCAACAGAATAGTTAACCGAAGTGAAGGCATTCCTTCATAAATCGTTAAAAAGCATGAATCAATGCATTTTTTTCGTATCTGTCATGCATTTGCGAATTTATGATAGCGAAATGAATAGTCGAAATTCATCGAGTCTGCGAAGTCTCTATCACCTATTTCGTTGGAATCACTTCCGCTTATTCCGCACTTCTCGAGCAAGACATACAACGGACGTGAAATCAATGAGCTGACAAATGAAAAGTGCTCGAACTCAATAATAAAATATGACAGACGCAGCAAGTAAAGTGAATGCCCTGAGGATAATTCGCATCTGATTAAATCACAAATGCGAATAACAAAAACTAATCACTATATCGAAATCTAGCGATAGCGATAAAACAAAAATAAATAAAGATTAGACTAATAAATTAAACTAAGTAAATAAATTGAATTTTGAATTCGGTAACTAGAATCAGGTAATCAATATATTAAATAACACAAGACATTTAATTTTTGTTTTCATGCTCATAATTATGCAAATTATATAATTTTTATACGTCTCGCTCGCCTCGTATTTTATTTTGCAAAATCGTCAAAATGTGATTCATTTAAAGTACAGTAATTATTAATTCAGCAAATGAAATTCTCTCCGTGTTTTAATTTCGACACTGAGAAACACTGTCGTGTTTCAAACAACGCAAATGTATTTAGGACTTTCGCAATTTCGCGTACGAGAGATAGAAAAAGAGAGAGCGCAGAATAGAACACATCGAAGAATGATGAATTAGTAATACGTAGGCAAACTGATATGCAAGGTAAATTCATTCGGTCGGTCGTCCTTTTGTGATGCATGAGACTTCTACGATTCGCGAATAGTGGAACCGAGAATAAAGTGCGAACAATTCCGTCACTCTCGGATCACTCGTCGTCATGGCATTCGAGTGAAAAGAAGCGTGCGCGCACACATAGCGCCTGGTTGTCTCCGTCACGATTTTCACACACGCCCGAAAAAAAGTACTTTCAATTTGAATTCATCCGTATAAAAGAGGCGAGAGGCGAGATAATTTAAATTTGAAACTGGAACGATTTAGACCTTTTTTTCCGGTAGATTGATGACTTGCGACAAAATGCAATGACAAATATTGCGCTGAAAAGCAAATATTACACATATAAATAAAGAATAACATTCTATATTCATAGAATTATTATATAATAGTGAGTACAGTACGGTACAGTACAGTATATATGGAACGTATTAAAAAACAAGATTGTAAATTATTTTTAAATATTAATATAAAAATCAATAGAATATTACTATATTGTTAATATACAATATTAATATATATGTATAATTCGTGCTGTATTGTTCATGCTTTATTTATATATCCAATATTCAAATATATTATTGTTAGCATACTAAATATGAATATAATTATGATAATAAGCCTTGATAAATGTTAATCCATCGAATGGTGTAATTATGTAATAATTATATAGAAACGTGATTCCCTATTCCATACTAATTGAATTAAAGAGAATTATATTTCCAAATTCTGTTATTATACTGTTTGTCTTAATTTATACACTCATCACATTAATTTGATCAAAGTAAAATAAATGTAAAGAAAATATGCAATAAATAAATGTATTCGATTCGAATGTTTTCCGATTGGAAAAAATGCGTACATTTTATGCAAAATAAAATAAAAATTACCGTCAATATAATGGCGCACGTTAATAATTCATAATTCGAATAATAGCGCTTTGATCATCGTCACGCGTCAAGGCGAATTGAAAATTAATTCGATCATATCGCAAAACATTGACTAAATCTAATTACTATGAACCAGAAGATACGATAGTTCCAGTTAAACCACTTGCATCGTAAAATTGACCGGGATTATAATCAAATCGCATCATAAAACCGATCGTATGTCGACGCCGAGGCATAAAATTATTATATCTACATTCTCGCGGTGCCATTGTCATAAACACGATCTCAAAAATTAAAGCACAAGGAAAATCGATATATACATTTATCAAATCGACTGTGGTAAATAAGTTCGAGACGTCTAGATAATAATAATAAATCATTTAATAAAGGAAGCCATTGAAATTGAATTTAAAATAAATTTTAACCAAGTTATTTCCAGATTATATATATATTATTCCTTTGTTAATATTCATATTTTAATATTTATGTAATAAAGGTGTGCAATTTTTGAAATTTGAATTTCACTAGGATGAAATGGAAAGATACTGTCGACCATGAAAACGAATGTAACACGCGTTCCACGTATAATGCATGCGTTCTAGTGTAACAAGGAGCATTCGCAATTAGAGGTGAATAATTAAAGAGTCGTTAGTCTCGCCAAGTATAACTCAAATCGCAAGGAGCGGAAATGAAGTCCAGAATTTTCAAGGCTGGCCGACATGGCTGAGTTACAGAAACGATCGATTGTTCCCTTTTGCGTTTCACGTCGGAATATATAAATAATCGTGCGATAAGCACGGTAGGCTCATGCATAATTATCAATCAAAATGAATGTATAATAAAAATAGGCAATCGTGATTAAGGTTAGAGATATTTCACAAAGTAAGATAGTCATTAATTGATACGTTATAAAATTTCATGTAATTAATATATTTATAGAAAAGATAATTGCTTTTTTAAATTATATAAAGAAAAATATTTCGTAAGACAAATCATCACACTATATTTAAAGCAATGGATGTAAATGTATAATTCATTTTTTATAGATAATTTCAAATTCTAGAACATGGATTATATAAATAATTATAATAATTTTCTTCTACGCTATAATTCTCGCGTCGTGTTAATGATAATTAAATGCAAAGCTCTACCTAGTGCTGAAAATTATAACCTAATTAGAAAATGTAGCTTCTTTGATATTACGTACCTGATAACTTAAATATTCGTGAATAAAATATTTCATTGAAAAATGTAATAAAAAAATACACACACACACACACACACACACACACACACACACACACACACATCAAAAGCAAAAAGCTCTTTACCATTGTTCATCATGGCGTGAAGTAAATATATATATACATTTTATATCGCGTGATATAAAATAATCACACATGCACGTACACATACACTCCATAATAATTAATTACTGGAGACGTATGTCGGAGTGCATCGATGTGCATTGTACATTTTATGCCATCGTTATGTATGGAATTATTCTCATTGTAGTTGTCCACTGAATTGAAATCTGGCTGAATACTTCTCTATCAGCAGAATCGAAATAGCACACGATAGAAATGGATCGAGCAAACGAAAAACTGCTTGCCGTACCGATCTAATGGATAGCTTTAATTACAACAGGCATATGTATGAAAGAACATATAAATGTATCTATAACGTACGAATCATGTATCAATGTATGAAACCGTCGTTTTCCTCGCAGATTAGCATAACGATTCTCTCGACGACATGCATTTTTCATATATACGTTCACGTAACGAGTACACAAATTCTTTTTTTTTTTATTTATAGAACTCATCACATTGCTCACAGTTTGACCAAAAAATGATAATAGTTGCTAATAATTCTTTTTTTTTCAAGAACGCTGACAACATTCTTATCACACATATTTTATCTCCAAAATCTATCTATGAAGGAATATAACAAAAAAAAAAATAAATAGTTTTACAGAAATCAATTAGACGAATACATCACAAATTTGTCAATAACTAATACAGTTATAGTATAATAACATATTATTTTTTTTTAAAAAAATTTATTTTGTGTGTGTGTGTGTGTGTGTGTGTGTGTGTGTGTGTGTAAAACTTTCCGCAGCAGATATTATTATTAACGAAATAAATATCTAAACATCTATTTGTCTGAAACAAAATTGTTGCTTGCCGAGATAACGGCTTGTTAACATAATTTAGCCTTAAGTTTGTTATCAATGAACGACTGCTATCGATCTAGAGATAAGTTGTTATTATCATAGATAATATAGGAAGGTCTCAGCGCGTCCTAACGAAAATTGGTATAGATACATACATATAGATAATACAAGGACGATATATCATATCTGGTATAGTTCTACGGATGCAATCAGGAGAGAGAGAACGATAGACTTAAGAGATACGTACCTTAGAAATCGACCAGGCTCTCCGAAACAGGCGCTCCTTACGAGGCGGATATCTGCTCACGGTCCTCCACGCATCCCCGATAATTATACTTGCCTTGTTAAGCGGCAGATGCTAAGTCGGATTATCGGCGAAAACTTCGACCTCCCACGTATACGCGGGGGAATGTGCGCGGGAAAGCGAGAGATCTTCAAGATTTCCAAACCAAGAGCCGCCTAGATATCCGACAGAAATGAAAGTTCCGATTAGGTACGAGCAAATCGTTGGAAAGTTTAAGAGTTACGGGAAACTTAGATCGCCGAATATCGTTGCGCAAGTGGCGAGTTTGTAGCATAAAGAAAAAAAAAACGTCATCGCAAATCTCCCGAGAGAGAGATAGTTAGGCGTAAGACGCGGCTTACGTTAATGAGTATATTGTTGACGCAGAGATTTTTTCAAAGGCATTAAAGATGATTTCGAACGAACGGCATAACCCAGTCAGGAAGATATTGAAGATAATGATCAGATAAATTAAAGACACGCGTTCTCTCGTACGCGCGCGGGGAAGTGGTAACAATCCGAGCTCATTTCGGATTATTTCGCCGCCATTGACAACCTTTATCGTGAAAGTTTACAACGGTGATTCGCCCTAGTTTCACGTATTCGAATATTAATATGGACAAACGAGCACCCGGGTTCGCGCGGAGCGTGAATTTGCCCTCCGTTCTAATTCCGCGCTTAATCCAATCTGCATGCAATTGTCAACGAGAGTATGCCACTGTGGAAGCACTTGATTTTAATTAAATGCAATGCAGATTAAATCTACGCCGTAAACGTGTGCCGAGGTAGGGACAGATTAGAAGCTCCACCTTATTCTCGCAGATTAATAACGATATCGGTTGATATCGGCGTTCGCTCTTGCGAAACGCTGTTTCTCTCGTCACAATCTCGAACAAGATCGATCCTCTGATTAATTTTCTACTATATTAATTAATATATATATATATATATATATAATATATTTCATTTTAATCATCACTGTATGTTTAAATTCAAAAAGCAATTAGTAAATGAAATATACAATATCGTACATTTAATATTTTAATATTATTCGATATGTTAAATACTTCGATGTTCGATATATCATATTGTTAATACTATTATTCAGTAAAATACAAAAATATTAAAGTGTATCAATAATTCGATACTGGTTCGTTCTCATATATATATATATAATAAATGTTATTTTATTAGATTAGATTAAATTAACTGCAACAAGAGGTACATTTCAAAGTAGTTTTATACTTTGATCACAATATCCATTTCATTTTTATTCAACATATTTTTAATATTTTTATTATAGTAGATTCTTAAATAAATGGAAAATAAGATATCCTTCAATTTTCAGTTATTAAATAATTATATAACATTAAAATTTTAAAACTGGATGGGATTATATCCGATTAGGCGAGTTGTTTCTCTACAAAAGCTACTTTAGACTTTGAAGATAAAAATAGCATTACATTTAAAACTGAGACGCCGCACACAAATTGCACCACGTAGCCACGAAAAACCATATCTCATTTGACTCCAACGTCGTAGCGCAATTTCTTGTTAATTACCATCGTATCGCGTTTTTGTAATTACAAAAACCGCTACGCTGCTCGCGACCGCAGTCAAGTTTAAGAATTCCATGTAATTTCAGCAAAACGGAAGAATTTGCGTGAATTCGTACTAACAATAAGCCGTGACACGTTCATCTTGCCCGAATGCGAAAGGGCTAGAGATCTTTTACGGTCAAAACGAATCAAGTTACAAGCTCCTCCACATGTGATGTGGATGGATCCAACCCTGAACAATAATGGAACTTGGAACAATTGGAGCGTCTCAAGAAGTGACTTGATGCTGGATGCTCTCCAACTAGAGAACGTCGGTCGATAACTTGTCTTTGTAGAAACGTAACCGCGTTTGCGGAACGGACGGTTATATTAAATGATCGAGTCGTATGCGTTTGTTTGAACAATTAATTACAGGAGCCGCAGAAATACGGAAATACGGTATTTTGCTTATTCGCCATCGCATCGTAAGCTGCTTAAGCGCGTACCGAAATATAACAAATACAAAGGAAAAATATAGAAAAAAAAAAAATATATGAAAAAGTCGCCGAAGAAAAGGTGTTTTTTTAAAAAAAAAATAAACACTTTTAGAACAATAATTGATTGAATTAGATATTAATAGTATAAATTGTTCGTTTTTCTATATATTTTTCTTTTCGACAGAAAAGCGAAAGAGATAAACTTGATATCAGAAGAACTAATCGAGCGACGAATGAAGTCGGACGTTCTTATTTTCTTTTGAAAAACAACGCGCCATTGTCTCTGCCTAGATGCCGAGTATCCTTATCGTTCCTCCTGCCGGAACCAGCTTCTAATGGTGGAGACTACAAGGAGCTAATAGTATTAGCACGGTAGACGAGCGAGCTCGGAGAAACAATTAAGCTAAAAGGCACGTTGATTCTTTCAGCGAGACGAATAGATTATCCGATCCGATTAATCTGACAGCAGCGTTATACGTGATATACTCATATGCGCGGTCTAATTAAAATTTTCATAGACGAGTTTGCTGCTGAATCAAATATGCAACAATACGCGCGCGAGCTTCATTCATATTCGATACATGGAATTACTTTTTTTTCTTTCCGTCGAGTATTATTAGATACGTTAATAAATAACCTAGGCTTAAGTAGTTGAGTAGCTTTATCTTTTTATCAGGGACATATATCGAATATGGACATTTTTCAGATATAATTTAAGATCTAAAAACTTTGTTGTTGTTAACTTTACTGGAGAAGTATATATCTAATTAGTAATAAACGAAAAATTAGGAAACTATCAAAACTCCAAATTAAAGTCTGTTTTAATCTGCAATTAGAAATTATAATTGAGAAGCTTTCTCTCTCTCTCTCTCTCTATCAGATATTCTATGTAATTTTTCAAAGAATAATGTAATTTACTTTTTGTAGTCACGGTAAACATAAATTTAATGACTGTTCACTCTCATATTTTTATTACCCATTTTCATTCTGATATGAGATTTATATTGGTGATTCTCGTGAGATATTTATACAAGCAAAGCTTGAGCAATTTGAAGTTGAGATTGATGCAAGAGAGAAACTTGAGCGCTTTAAATGCTACGTTCTCGCGGCCAGTGTAACGGCGCATCCGCGAAAATAGCAGAAGCGAACCTCCGAATAGCGATAACGACTGCCGGATGAGAAAGTTTCCTGCTCGGACGTTAATGACCAGCGGAATATCTTTTTCGCAGCGGTAACGATCGCTGGCCTACACGGCATGACTCCCTGATGATTTACAGCGCTTGGAAATAAGTAAACTCGTCAACGCCACGTCCAATTACAAAGTTCGAATATGATTTAGAAAACTTCAGAAATTTGCGTTCGTTACAAAATAAAATTAAACAAAAGAGATGATCCATTTTCTACATTTCTTTATGGAAAAATGGCATAGCATTTCGTTTCGTAATATTTAAAAGTATTTTTATTAATAGGTCTTTATTACCAGACGTTAAATTCGCTGGGAAAATTGACACATCGCGTGACATTAATCAAATAAACTCGACTCGATACAAATTCTATTAAAATCAAGTAACTTCTAGTAAATCTTATTAAAAAGATAGATATCCTAAATCGATCGTCGACGGTATTACAAGGGTTTTGATCACGTCTTGATCGATTGTGTCCAGGAAGGAGATTTAGTGACTTATTCGGTCAATGTACGATCGAATCTAACGTCTCGACATCTACACGATGCATGATTAATTTAATTTATCCGTCCGCTCCAACCGGTGCGTTATTAGCCCGATTGCTCTTCCGACGAAGAGCGCGGTGTAGCGTTCCGTCTCTCACACCCGCCGTCGCGCGCAGCAACACCAGCATTATTAATTCGAACGTTATTAAATTTTCGATAACCCCTGCCGATGCTACGTGTCTTGTAAGCAAGATGCCGAGCAAGCTATCCGATCGAGCGCGCGCGCGCGCGCGCGCTCACCGACGCAAACGACCTCGTTACTCGACTGACATTGCGCTACGTGCGAAAACTTTTCAACCTCTCCGTGCCTCTCGTCGATGTCGAGATTAAACAGCGCCGCACCGTGAAATTCGTCGTCGCAACAATACTAATATATAACAACTAAATATCACACCCACTTCTCTCACCTGCATGTATTTATCGCGGCGTAATATCCATAATTAGAAAAAAATTTTCACAAAGAATTATCGTGACCTAAGCTAAATTCCACAATATTTTTCATAGAGGACGAAGGAAATATATTTCATATTACAATTCACGTGTGTGAGTGTAAATAAAATATTTAACTGAATACAGATAAGCCGAATTACGATAGAAATTTCTTGTGATCGCGTTTCGCGCGATCTCGGAAATCGTCAAACGGCATGAAAGAAGTGGGCATCCATCACATCACCGAGTACACCGCAACAGTGTACAAATCCCCAAGCGTTTTTCCGCCTGGGACACAGGGGCGACTGATTCCATTGATTAACGACATGCGTTTCGTAATGAGAATTCTCGGCTACGGCTACGGCTCGTTGCGCCAAATTGAAACTCCGTTGCTTGATTTATCGCTGCCGGGAGGACGCGTTCTCCCGCGGACGGAAAATTAATTGCGACTTGCAGGCTACGCGCTAGAAGACCGTTGGAAAAGCGAGGCCGCGAGAAACGGGAACGGGCACGGGAATGGGATAAAGAAAAATTCGCGTCCCGCGGGCGCGAAGCGTCACGCCCTCCGAAGAAAAACTGCATGCGTCGCTTATACGGGTCGCTTATACGGGGGAAGTTCGCGGTTGTGAAAAAGCGAGGATAAGATAGGGACGCGCGTGCTGCCGCGGCAAGGCCAGAGAGAGAGAGAGAGAGCGAGAGACAGAGAGAGAGAGAGAGAGAGAAGAGAGGATGAAGAACGAGAAGGAGTTCCGGTCGTTGGAAGACGAATAAGGTACACCTAATCTATCTGTGTTCCAGCGTAATGGCTAGAGATGCTATTTCCCCGGCGGGATATCTTCATGACGGGTATACGCGTATACCCGCTGCTTTTCACATGGCGGGCCTGAATATCGCGGAGGGGGGGGGGGGGAAATATCGCGCCCTGCGGCGCAAGTCGGTAAAGAACGGCGGACTCGTCAAACGTTACGAATTTCTGATTTTCACCTTGGATGCCGACCCACGATTTGTCGCGGCTGATAGTACTCGCGAGAGAGAGTAATAATCGCGTTTCCCCTCAGGAGGGGGTGGGATACGATAGAGCGATACATATAAACGGACAGAGATGAGTTGCGAAAAAGCGAGAACGAAGCGGAATAAAGCCGCCTTTCTAAAGCGCGGAGGCGAAGATATTTGAGTCGAGCCGGAGATCGAAGCGCTAGGAGATTTCAGCTGGCCGACGAGCTCGTCGCCGAGACATTTCACGGCAACCCGGCCTCATAAAGCTTTAATCGGAATCGCATGCGAGACACGTTGCATCTCCGCCAGATGCAATTCTCACGAGTTCAGGTCATCGTCCCGTCCTTGTTTCATTGTGCGCCGCAGCTGCGGAAAAAACGGTAACGGCTGTAGTTTTCGTGTATTCTATCCAATCGTCGCGGGGGGTTAGCGACGGACAAACGGACGGAGGGACAAACGGAGGAAATCTCGCCAGAAGCTAGCGGCATACCACATTTCGCGTCGAGGAATATCAGAATGAATAGTGGATGAGTTGGCACCGGCTGATAGAACGATAAAACCTCAGATATAAACGGCGCTTTATTCCGCGGATTTATGTTAATAGTAAATTTCCCCTCCCCCCACCCTCTTTTTTTTTACAAGTGTTTTATGTACCATTATAAATTTTCACCACGGAAACGAGAAACGGTAGTAATGCGAGAAAATTGCTCCCTCCTTGCTACGGACAAAGCTATTGCATTTCCTGTT